TATATATATATATGTATATATATATATATATATATATATTTATATATATATATATATATATATATATATATATATATATATATATATATATATATATATATATATATATATATATATATATATATATATATATATATATATATATATATATATATATATATATATATATATATATATATATATATATATATATATATATATATATATATATTAGGCCCCTGCTAAGCCTAAATATTTTGAATCAAATCAAATAAGTGATTCAAGACTTGACTCAACAAATCTCTATTTATTTGAATCAAATCAACCTGCTTTTATTAATAGATTATAATGAAATTAGCTCAAGGTCATATCATTATAAATTTTCACAATCTTGAGTAATAACATTATTAGAATGTTATTACTCTAATAACATGAAGTTGTCTTAGAAATTTCAAGATACATTAAAAAAAAAATTTTTTAACTAAATTTAATTATGGTCATGCTTTGATCAATTCTAAATGTTTTGCAAAAAATTTCATGAATTGTTAACGAAAATTCCCCTACAAGCTAACTGCCTCTGCCAAAACATGATGACAATGACTTGATAAAATGCTTAGTTTCTCTATCTAATACTAAATAAACCTTCAGTTTTTCAATTTAATTTATTTGTATTATTGTGCCTAAAAGTTATGACCATAAAAAATTAACAGCCCCCTCGATTTGATCAAACTTTGCTCATTTAAATACTAGAAAAATATTATAAGGTATTTTATTAATTATTTTAGCAATAAATAGTTAGAAAAGGAAAAAACTTTTAAAATTCGAATGTACTAAAATATGAATTGATTTTAACAAAAACAAAAAGTAAATATATTAAAAATTGTATGTTAGGCCGACTTCCGTGGGTCTAACATACATACGTATTGAAATTTATAAATATATATGTGTATATATATATATATATATATATATATATATATATATATATATATATATATATATATATATATATATATATATATATATATATATATATATATATATATATATATTCTTTAGTCATGACTAGGAGTATTTCAACTATTTTTTTATAGAATGTAGAAATTTGTTTTGTTTTTTATTTGTTTATCTCTCCATTGACTTTTTAACCACAATAACTGCAAATACCTATATTGCATCCATGCATATATTACATACATATTTAAATAAGTATGTAATATATGCTAAAATAATTAATAAAATATACATACATATATTATGTATGTATGTATTAATAAAAACAATCCTGCCTGCCTGTCAAAGACAAAATTAGATGTGTTTTTGTTAATTTTAATAAATTAGCATCTACATACATATATACATACAATACATCTAATTTTGTCTCTCTCTCTCTCTCTCTCTCTATATATATATATATATATATATATATATATATATATATATATATATATATATATATATATATATATATATATATATATATATATATATATATATCTTTAAAAGTCATTTCTTGTTATACGATATATAGTTGATTATAATAAAAAGATAGCGTATATATATATATATATATATATATATATATATATATATATATACATATATATATATATAGCGTATATATATATATATATATATATATATATATATATATATATATATATATATATATATATATATATATACGCTATATATATATATATATATATAGTGTATATATATATATATATATATATATATATATATATATATATATATATATATATATATATATATATATATATATATATATATATATATATATATACGCTATATATATATATATATATACGCTATATATATATATATATACGCTATATATATATATATATATATATATATATATATATATATATATATATATATATATATATATATATATATATATATATATAAAGTTAAAATATACTATTGTTAATATATTTTTACATCTAAATATATTTTAAAATGGTTATACACTATCTTTTTATTATAATCAACTTTTACATATATATATATATATATATATATATATATATATATATATATATATATATATATATATATATATATATATATATATATATATATATATATATATATATATATATATATACTCACATCAATGTAATTATGTATTGTGATTATAGGGTAGCCTAGCAACAGCAAAAAAAAAGTTAATGTTTAAAAAATATCTTTTAATCCTGAAAAAAAATTGAATACTAATATCAGTAAACATTCTAAGAAAGATCAACAGTTCATCTATCTCAAAAAGTTAAAATTTAAAAATTTCTACGCTCAAAATTTTTTTAAAAACAATTTGAAAACGATAAACAAAACACACTAAAGTAGCTATTGCTGTAATTACATTTTATTCATTTTTAGAGGTTTTATATTTAATTTGAAATATTTTATCGTGTACTAGAAGTTACTTTTATTATAATTTCCTTTTAATAAACGGCTAAATGCATATTTCATTGCTAAAAATTAGAAAAATAGCTCGTTGTCAATGAGAATTTTTTTTATACTCGTTATCCGTAGCCATTTTTAAAACTTTTAAAATATGCAAACTTTACTGCGCTTGCGTATAATAACTTTCCACTTATTTAGTAAGTCTGAACGACCGTGTAACAACTCTGTAAATATAAATTTTCTAATGATCTAAATCTTTATAAATTAGATATTTTATTTTATATCTTAATTTTAAATTAAATAAATTATATTTATCTTAACTATAAATTAAATCTTTATAAATTAGATATAAATAGAAAAACAAACATATAATAACACAATTATATCCTAAACCAAAATTCAATCATGCAAGGCAAATTATTAAACTTTTTGAAAAGAAAAAAAACATACTTTTTTTCAAAGAGCCAAAGTATTAACAATACTATAGATAAATTTTATTTATAACAAAATGTTGTCATGGCTTTTATCCCAATTATTAAAAGCATTTGAAAGCATGAAACTACCCATAAATATCTTTTAATGGTAGACACCATCTAAGAATTATAGTAATCTATATTTTCAATATTTACATGTATAACACGAAGCTTTAAATTTAAAAGTACAATTTAAAAAAGATTACAATAAACTAATTACTTATAAAATTTTAAAAAGATTTTATAAATACTCAATGTCTACTTAGACATTTTGAAAAGATTACGATTTTGAAAACTTGAAACTTTAAATTTTAAAAAACTGAAACTTTAATTCTACCTCAAAGAAAACAGATATATATTGAAAAGTATTTTTATTTCTTTTTAAAAATTTAAAAATGCTTTTAAACTTAAATAACACAATTAAATCCTAAACCAAAATTCATTCATGCAAGACAAATTATTTTAAATTTATTGAAGAGCCAGAAACATATTTTTTTTCAATGAGCAAAAGTATTAACAATATTAAAGATAAATTTTATTTATAACAAAATTTTCAATAAAAATTAAATTAAATTAATTATTATTGTCATGGCTTTTATCCCAATAACCATAACTATGTGAAAACATGAAACTACCCATAAATATATTTTAACGCTAGACACAATCTAAGAATTAAAGTAATCTATAACACGAAGCTTTAAATTTAAAATTACAATGTAAAAAAGATTACAGTAAATTAATTACTTTTAAATTTAAAAAAGATTACCTATAATTTAAAGCTACTAAACATTGTCTACTTAATGCCAACTTGGACATTTTGAACTCGTACCATGAAAGGTTGAAAGGAAATCTTTAAGAAAGCACGCGGTAAAGAAAAGTCTAAAAAGTGTATTATTTTACAGATACAGAACCGTACCGTAACTATAAAACAATACGCGTAACTATGCGCACTAATAATAATAATATTCATTCGGCTATTAATAATTAGATTATTGTTATCATTATTTAAATTCAATTGCTGATCATTAATTTAATGTAAAAAACTTTATTTCCCCAAATGCAATGTAAATTTTAAATATGCATTTTTAATACATTTATAATACATTTATATATACATTAAATATACATTTATAAATAGTTTATAAATGTTTTACAAGTATGCATTGAATTGCAGTAAATGCATATAATACAACTTCACACTTCACTTTATTTAGAATAAAAATTATAACAATTTAAAAATATACAAAATTATTTTTAAAAATTATTTATAAATATGTATAACATGTAAACCAACATGTAAACAAAGTAAATAACTAAATTAGTAAACTTTATTATGTTCTAAGCACACTTTTAAAATAGCAGAAATTCCGTAAAATCACGAGACTAGAATCCCTCCGTGGGCATTTTACCCCACGTAAACGAGAACATCTTGCCTCATATGCAGTGAGTGCAAGTTTAATATAAATAAAACTAATTCTATTGCTTCCTTAAAAACTTTCTTTTCTAAAAATTATTGAGGGACAAATTCAGTAAAAAAAAAACTATTTTTTTACCTATTGCCAGTCCAATAAACATTTGAAGTTAAAAGCAACTTACTAACAAAATACTCAAAATAGTTAAAAACCTATTTAAACCTTAACTAATAACAATATTTAAACTATTTTTTGTTCCGTGATATTGTTTTAACTATATTAATAGTATAATAGAGGAATAACACATTACTATTCTATGATACCCTCACAAAAGCAAAAAGACTTTTTACCCCACCCTACCCTACGACACTTTACACGCCACACAAACTCACGCCACACAAATTTTCTAATCTTAGTTATTATAAATTTGTAAAACTATTTTTCCAATCATTAACAATCTTTTATTAAAAATAAATAATCTAGGTAATAAATAAAAGATTATAAGGAATATATTTTTATAGAAATAATAGATAATTTATTGTTAATATACAGTTTAAACCCAATTTTTTTATAGAAATAGTAAATAGCCTATACGTAAATTTTTAAAACCACATTTACGCTTGTGGTATCAAAATTATCTTTAAACAAAGTTGTTTCATTAAAAATGGATACTTTTACCATGTTTAGTTAAATAAAAATAGTTTTATTTTGTTTTCAAACAAAATATTGTGCGATCTTCTTGGAGATTTTCAACATGGATTTGTTCAGTATAAAGTAAGTGTATATTATGTAAATTTATCATTGTTTTATATAAAGTCATTCAAAAACAGTTTCTTTTATGTTACTTCACCCAAGACTTCAAAAGGGGTCATTACCGTTGAAAAGGCTACTCATTTCTTTTTTTTTCATTTTTTCCGTCTTTAAGTTTATTATAAATATTTCATCTTTAATTAACACAAAGATTTAAAAACTATAATTATTTTACTTGTTTTAAAAAGTATATATTTATGTTGAATATTATATTATCTTAAAGCCTTAAACTTTGATTATAAATTAAGTATTAATTTTTTTTACTTCGAGTAATTTTAATTTTTATTGATCACAAAATTTTGCTTATTATTATTATTATTATTATAATATTATTATTATTATTATTATTGTTGTTATTATTATTATTTTTATATAGTTTTATATAAGTGTGTGAGTGTGTTTTGAAGACTTGAAGTACTGTTAGTGACTTTAAATTTTCGTTTATATATAAAAAAACCTTAAAAAAAGTTTTAGTTTCAAGTAGATATTTGTAAACGCCACTAATTTTGATAGTAAAATTTTATATAAAAATTTATGCTTTTAATTGTATAAACATATACTCCTATGAATATTAAATGCGGATATAAGGTTTTGATTTTTATAACCGTATAACTGCTTTTTAATACACTTGATAACAAGAGTATCATTATTATCTCGAAATAGGGTATCTTTATTACTCCGTAATTATTTAGTCAAAGGAAGGATTAATGCAGCCCCTTCCCTACAAATATTTAACCCTGGCTGCTTTAGTAACCCTCTTAAACTGGTATGACCTTCTTATACCACTGAGTAATATAATAATGCATATTTTGAAACATTTTTTGTTCAATAATAATTAATTGGATATTTTTTTGAGTCAATAGTGTTTAATTAGTGTTTTATGCATGTTTTATGTTCAGTTTTAAGATTAGTATATTATGATTAAAAATCACATTGCACCTTAGCTGAACTTTTAGTAATTAATAACTGAAAAACAATAAATAGTTATATATAGAGAGATTACAAGACTAACTGAATGTTCTGTTGGAAAGGTTCAAAACTTTACCCTTGAACCACAAAATGTATCTGGAATCTAGAAGATAAATTAACTATTCGTGAATCTAAAAATAAACTGTTTACCTTCAAGAACACCATTAAACACAATAATTGTGTTTAATTGTGTTCCTAAAGGTAAACAGTTTTTTCACGAATAATTAATTTATTAAACTAATTATTAGTTTAATCGATTCTGACGTACGATTAGAAGGCGTTTGGTTACATATACATATATATATATATATATATATATATATATATATATATATATATATATATATATATATATATATATATATATATATTTATATATATATATATATATATATATATATATATATATCTGTATTTGTATATATATATATATATATATATATATATATATATATATATATATATATATACATATATATATATATACATACATATATATATATATATATATATATATATATATATATATATATATATATATATATATATATGTATATATTTATTTATATTTATATTTGTATATATATATATATATATATATATATATATATATATATATATATATATATATATATATATATATATATATATATATGTAAATATTATTAGATGGTTGCTGTTTTGCAGAGTTTTCTTATGCGTAAGATCGTTTATAACTAGATTACCATGTATATCATACGCTAGCTTTGATATAATATACAACAAATATTATTATGGAACCATTTATTCAACTTCATATGCAACTAATGTAAACGATTGTGGCATTCTATGCGTCAGAAATCCAAAGTGTATTTTTGCAAACTTTAAACTTAGTGAGATGAAGTGTGAATTAATGTCAACAAATGGTGTTTCATCAAACAGTAAAAGCGACTTGTTATGGCAAGTGTTACTCTCCGATATTACCAGTATAACTAATGTAAGTTTTTAATTTTAAGGTAATTAGTATATATATATATATATATATATATATATATATATATATATATATATATATATATATATATATATATATATATATATATATATATATATATATATATATATATATATATATCACTTTACATTTTAGTATGATGTATCATACTAAAAAACAAGGTTGAAATAACGTTGATCAATGTTGTTTCAAGGTTGAAACAACGTCGAGTGTCCACTGGGTTGTGATCAGAAGACAGCATATTGAGCATAAGTATTTAGGCAGCTACTTTTAGTTTATGAAGCTTTTGTGACAAACCTTGTGGTTATGGGCTATTCCACGTTGTACAAAAAGTTTAATACAAACTTCAAATCCTAGAAAAAAACAACTAAATGTATCATTCAAAAGGTTTGTAGCTTCTAAAAACATGTAACATGTAGAACTGGTTTTTGAAGAATTTTAGGATTATATGCTTAAACTTTAAACAAACTTTTTTAGACTTTAAATTTAAATTATTTTTTCTAGTAAATCATTTTAAAACCTTTTTTTTTGGAACTTTTTTAAATTTCTATGTAGATTTGTCTCACGCAAAATAAAGATAGGGCTCTTGCTTTTCAAATTAATTTTAAATTTATAATAATAATTAAATAGTCTTTCATTGAGAAATTTCTATTTGGTCTTTTGATTGATTCGCTGTGACATGTCACGCCGTGACACAAATAGTAACATTTTTCATTCTAGCGTAAGAATATTTATATATATTAAATAAATATTTACAAATTACTTGTAAATAAAATAGGGCAATAAATATCAATAGATATTTAAATTTAAATATTTTTAGTTTTTGTGTTATGTGTCTTAAATTTATGTCACGTAGTGACGACACAATGTGACATTTTTTAAAATTAAATTTTTTAAAGACTAATTTTTATAAAAATGTTACGCAAAAAACATTTGGTTTTATATTTGTAGTATTTTTATTGCTTTTTATTCGTGAATAAGTTTTAAAACCTCCTTTAATATAACTAACATGGTCCGGATTTTATGAAGGAAGTGGACTCGATACGGAAAAAGAAAAACGAAATTCTAATGTAGAATGATCAGGTTTAAAGGACAAGTTAAGAAAAAAAAAGAGTAAAGTTTCTTTATCTGAAATAACAACTACTATCTCTCCTGCTTACAAATCATCTTGTACACTTGGTAAAGGTGTTAAAAAAGCAATACGTGCTCTTCCAACTTCTCCTCTTGAAAATGTAACTGTTGTTAAACAACTTGCAATTCAATTTAACAAAGATTTACCAGATATGTAACCAACACATGGACCTAATGTTCTTAATGATGAAACGAAGCTATGCATCATTAGTTTTTTTGAACAAGATGGTATATCCCGTCAGGTACCTGGAGTAACAGATACGATTAATTAAAAAAGTAATAATAAAAAAAAAAGAAAATGCAAAAAAGGTATTTGAATTGCTAACTTGAAAAAGGCGACATGTTATGTGAATATTTGCAGGACATGTCTCCTTTTTCAATTTAGCGAGTCATTTAATAATGAATATAAGTGAAGCATATCAAATATTTAAAAACTAACACATAGATTTTTCAATCAGTAAATCCAAGTTTGCTAGCTTGAGACCAGGCCATTTGCTTTTATCAAGCTTAATACCTAGAAATATTTGTTTATGTCAAAAATATAAAACATTATCTTGTCACTTAAAGCATTACATTTTATCGATTTAAAAATTCCCCTTTATTTGCATGTTTTACCAAATACTTTAGTGTGTGATGAGAAAAATGATAATTGTTTGAATAATCTTTGTGAAGCTTGTAAGGACGGAAAAATTAGAAAAAAACAAATTAGATGAAAAAAAACCACGATAAAGAAAAACCTGGTACCTTGGGAGAAAGTTACGCAAATAAATAGAACTAAGTACCTTGAAAAAGCAATAAAAAAAGACAAATCCATAATTATGTATAACAATGTTTGCAGAATACAATCCAAATTTCTTTTGCATTATTTTTTAAAAAGAAAACAATCAATGAGTTATAAAAACCAAAAAAAAAATTTTAAAAAGCAATCTTGATTCAGTTTTGCAGAAAACTTCTCAACTTTCCGGCAGGATAAAGTTCAGTCAGCACCTTGGAACAAAAAATTAGCAACATTATTAACTGCTGTTAGCTGGTATGGTGACTCTTGTAAATCCGCCGTTATTATGTTTGATGATTTGAACCATTCAAGAAGTTCAGTTATTTATTTTATTGATTTGTTATTAAATAACCTTATTAGAAAAGATAAAAAATACTTGCAAGCTTTGTCTGATGGTTCTAGCAGTCAATTTAAAAATTGTTAGATAGTAGCTTCAACTCCATTTAAAATTTGCTGAAATTACTTTGCAACGTCTCATGGTAAAGGACCATGCGATGGCATAGAAACAACGATAATAAGATTAGCAACACAAAAAAATTTTTCAAAGAGAAGCTCTGATTAACGACGCAACAGCATTTTATAAAGCCGTCAGAGATGAAAGTCAAGTAAACGTTTTCATGGTTGCTGCTGAAAAAATCAAAACTGCTTTTGATAGCACAGAACTTTTAAACATCATTAATAACGCTTGTAAAACGCCTTGAATATTTAGTACCCATTGAAAACATTGAAACCTTATTCAAGTGCATCATATTTAGTTAACTAGATAAAATTTAATAAAAAAAAAGTAGTTAAATTTTGTAAGACTTTTTTTGAAATTATTGTAAATAAACTGTTTTCTTAAACCAATCTTATAAAAATTCAAATAAAACCATTTTTTTTTTTTGTTTCAACTGTCTTTTTGATGATGTTATTGTCTTAATATTCAAAGATTTAGTACTAGTCACACCGTGACGTCACAGTGTGACGTCACGGTGTGACTAGTACTAAATCACCACATAAATATCTGTTAATATATTTATGTGGTGACTCCATTTAAATTTATAAAACATTTTGAAAATGTTATGAAACTATTATAACACATTTTAAGTATCCAAGACATAACAAAAAAATATTTCAAAATATCCACAAGAACTGAACTACTGTCACTTCTTCTAATGACGGAAAGTGCTAGATAATTTTTGTCACGTCGTGACGCAACCTTTTAATGCGTATACCTAAAAGTCTATAAAATATTAAAACTAAACAATTTTGTTTTTAGAAACTGTAATGTATATGAAAATTTTTTAGTTTCTTTAATTTTTAAATTTTTAATTTTAAATGTGCTAAAATTTGTTTTTTTTTTCCCCAAAAAAGTCAAATGTCACGCGGTGACAACGTGGAATAGCCCTTATGCATATTTAATTAACAATTTTACAATTGGAAAAAACTACCTGTTAGGTAAAAAATATACATTAAAATCACCATTTTACATGGTGATTTTAATGTATATTTATTTCACAACTTTGTATTGCCTTCAAAGATAGAAAGAAATTATTTAGTGCAATAACCAAATGTATCGAAATAATGTCTTTCAATTTTATAAAATAGTTATTATTTTTTAACTTTTTAAAAAATTTAAATTATTTAAGTACAGGTTGACCAACTTTTGAGGTCAGCTTTTTTTTCAAAATATTATGGACCCGTTAAATAATAAATAATTTTGTAACACCTCTAACCAAAATTTCTACATTTTACTTTAAACCAATGTTATTTACTAATTTAAAACACACTTTTATTTAAAAATATTGTTTTTTAAGGTCACCCTAATACATATAGAAAAAATATATATAGGGTAGAACGGGGCATATCGGGACAGTTGAGCATAACTGGACAATTAAGCCTGAAGCTTTATATCTTAGCTAAAAATTTTTTTTTTCTAAAAATTTTTCGGATAAAATATTTTAAATTATTTTGTGCTTTTTTAATATTTTAAATTATTTTGAATTAAATATCAATATTTTAAATATTAAATATTTAAATATTAAATATAAAAATATTGATATTTTAAATTATTTTAAAATATTTTAAATTATTTTGTGCTTTTTTTTTAAATTGTCAATAACTATATTAACCCTTTCGCGACTGAGTTAAAAACATCCATATGACTGCGCGTAAAATAACGTATTTGGATCATGAACAATTAAAAAGGCATAAAGTAAAAACTACTTGTCAAAATATAACAAATAAGACCTTTATTTTTTTGTTAGAGAAAAAAAAAATTTTAGAACTACCGAAATGCATTAAAAGTACCAAAATGCATCAGTAAGTTTACGAAAAACAAAGTTGCGTATTTTTTTAAGTGATACAACGACAAAAGATTTATCTTGAAATATTGCTAATTTATTTTATTTATAAAAAGTTTTCAGACAGTATTTTGTATCCTCTTCTAAAATTTGGTTTAAAAAGTTTTTTTATAACTTAACTTTGATTATTAATAGTGTTTAATGTAAACAACAATGGTAAGAAAACATTTAAGAAAGAACAATCATCCAAAAAGGAATGAAATGCAGTTTTAGCTTTTGTTTACAACTATGTTTGTTTTAATTGGTAATTGGTTTAATCTAGGTACTTCTTATGGAAAAAAGCCAATTCATGTAAGTTTCGATTAATTTGATTTATGACAAAAATATTTATATGTTTATGTGAGTATGTTCCTTATATATATTTTTTATTTTTAGTGCAAAAAAAAAATAAAAATCTAAATGTCAAAGAAGAAGGTCATTAAAACAAGATGTGACATGATGATGTGCGGCTAACTCATACTTTATCATGTCACAAGATGTGACATGATAATATGTGGCTAATTCGTCATCCATTACCAGTTTTAGATAAAGTAAGTTGTTCAAGCTGTTTGCCCACAGTTCGTTTTGTCCTACGTCCTATGAATTGAAAACAAACAAAATGGAACTTTCACAAAGCTGTTCGAATACTGTTGATGAGGTTTTACAAATTTGGTTTATTGCCAATGTTGCAACAACACAAAAAAGGAATGCTTTTGCTAAACTTAAAGTATTATATAACTCTTATGTTAAAATAG